CGGCTAAAAACGCCTTACTATACATGGTCGTTTTTTTCGGCTAAAAATTTCGGCTAAAAACGCCTTACTACATATGGTCATTTTTTTGGGCAAAAAACGCCTTACTATACATGGTCATTTATTTCGGCTAAAAATTTGGGCTAAAAACACCTGAATATACATGGTCGTTTTTTTCGGCGAAAAACGCCTTACTATACATGGTCGTTTTTTTCGGCTAAAAATTTCGGATAAAAACACCTTATGGTCATTTTTTTCAGCTAAAAACGCCTTACTATACATGGTCGTTTTTTTTCGGCTAAAAACGCCTGACTATACATGGTCGTTTTTTTCGGCAAAAAATGCCTTACTATACATGGTCGTTTTTTTCGGCTAAAAATTTCGGCTAAAAACGGCTTACTACATATGGTCATTTTTTTGGGCAAAAAACGCCTTACAATAAATGGTCCTTTTTTTCGGCTAAAAATTTGGGCTAAAATCACCTTACTATACATGGTCATTTTTTTCAGCTAAAAACGCCTTACTATACATGGTCGTTTTTTTTCGGCTAAAAACGCCTGACTATACATGGTCGTTTTTTTCGGCAAAAAATGCCTTACTATACATGGTCGTTTTTTTCGGCTAAAAATTTCGGCTAAAAACGGCTTACTATATATACATGGTGGTTTTTTCCTGCTAAAAACGCCTTACTATACATGATCAAAACGACCTCAGAGGTCACCAGAAACACAGGAAGAGCAGTGCTCCTGGGGCAAATTCATGCAGAATTAAGGTTGCGCAAGCTACAGCAAAGCTACCAAAGTCTGGTCTGGACTGGTCGTGGCTGCCTAATCAGATCAAGAAAAAAAAGGGGGGGGGGCTTAATGATCTCAGACTTTGGTGCAGAAAAACACTGAAGTGGGATGTTCCTGGTGTGCAATGATGAGCCACAAAGCTGCTTTGCCTCTCTGGGTCAGCGGGTAATCAGGAGCTGGGGTGATGCTGAGGCCAGCAGGTCCAATGAAAGGCATACGTGGATTAATTAAACTCACACTATGCTTGGAGTAATACAGTTCGAGCATTACATTTTTAATGCACAAAATACAGTGTATATGTGTTAACTAGCCCGCTTGCCGGACACATAAACACCACATCTATCGTGGAGAAACGGGTTGGCTATTTTTAAAGGGGGGAATAGCACTGACAAGATGAAAATAATTGGCAGCAGAGGAAGAGAAGGCAGCCTCACACACTCTTGCATCCAATATGAGACATTTCCACCCCCGCGTCGTGAATCGATAACCATAAAGCCTCACCTTGCTCCAAGTCATGCTGATCGTACCACGGCTCTTCTTCCTCCGTGACAAACTCCTCCATCTTGCCCGCACGGAGCATCGAGGCCGCCCAACTTGTTGGCCGGTGATCGGCTAATTCGCCCCGCGGCTCCCCCGGAAGTGACAATCCACAAAAAAAACGGAGTGACGTTACCCTCCCCGAGCACGTAGAAGCGTTTGAAACAAAAAGAAGAGCGGCGCTATGATGGAGGAAGGCTGGTCAACGAGTCTCCATCAGCGGGCCGCGGCGAGGTGCGATAGAACAGAGGTGCTTCTTATGCGTTGGTACCATCAGCCTTTGATGAGCATCATGCACGTCCACGCTTCTGTGCAACTGAGGCGTTCAATGGAGCTCGGGAAATGCGACATGCAGAGGCCCAAGTGTGGCAAAGCTCATATTCATAAATATGCCAATAATGAAATCACTGTCGATGTAAGACAGTAAATTCCAGTGTTGTGGTTGATTTATTTTGGAATTAAAAAAAGTTTAAAAAAAAATCAATATTAATTATAAAAGTCAAGATTTGAGCATATCAAACAACATAGGCCAACATAAACTTTGCTTCTTTAGGATCAGAGCAAAGATGTATTTTCATAAAGAAATGCTTAACTTATTTTAAATACAAGTTTTCAAATGATTGACAGGCGACTCTAGGTAGCTTCAGAAAGGTTGGGTTGAACCATTCTGGTATGGGGGAGACTCGAGGTTTTTAGGAGAATGAAATTGAATAGCCTACTAAATGTGAAATTAATTTCACGAACATATATTTTCCTGAAATGTTTAGATAGTTTCCTAATTTTAAGACATTTTTTACACAGATGATACTTCTTAAATATGATTTAAAATCTCAGCCACGAGCTAGAGTACCTTCACGAACCCCCAGGGGGTACGCATACCTACATATAAAAACCACAGCACGAGTAGCTCGAACAGGGTGCTTCATGTAATGAAATTGGACTTTTTATATTGAACGAGGAACATTTGAACGCAGCGCTCAACGAAAGGTGACGTCACCTTTTACATGACAGCGCACACAGCATAGCCCTCCAATCTGATCAACGTCGATATGTACGGCCCAGGTGAAGACGTTCGGCTTTATTAATCATTACAGATCATGTGACCTGCATTAACATCTCTTAGCATCCTAACCACAGAACCCACAAGGGGGTTGCCTCCTTCATCCAAGACCCCACTCATCTCCTGCACCGATTATTCACATCTGTACGTGTAGCCAACTTTATGTTGGCATCCATGTGGACGGCAAAATCGGAATTGCACAGGGGTCCCAGCTGTGCATATGAAAACCACTGGGAATGCCGTTGTCATTGTGTATTGAAAAAGTAAACACCAAGGATCTCTGCGGTGGGGATCCTCTTTGGCTTATCTTCCACAGCCCTCTTATGGTTCATTTGTAAAATATTTAAAAAAAAAACAAAATTAAACATGAGCATTAAAAGGACAGAACATTTCTTTCTTCGCGTAAACTGTTAACGTAACAAAATAATTTAAATGATCTTCAACAGTCTAACACTTTGAACCAAAGCGATAACATCGTGTGTTATTCATATCTTTCATCCATTCGTCCGTTCCAGATTCAAGAGCAGAGCATCAAAAGTTCTAATACCCAAACATTTGAAGTTGAACCTCGTCAGTGAGTGTGCATGCACAGAAGCCTGAGCTAATGTGACCAAAAGAAGGCACTAACAGAAAAATCCCCCAAATGATTCATTTCTTCATGGCAGTTGCTGATCGGGTGCGCTTTTACAATAGTCCCGTCTTTTAAAGTCTTTCCAGTCCGCTTCACTCTCGCAGCGTTTGACCTCGCAGAAGAACTGCCTGATGAGCGCCTTGGCTTCCGCTTTCACTGAGGGCCCACAGAGACAAACGAGTGAGAGAAAGCAAACGTCCAAAAGTATTTGAAAAGTTCTTACATCGCCGCGCAAACGACTTTGCGTGTCACTCATAACTTACAAATGTCATCATCACAGTAAATATTTTTTATGGAAGAAAAACTTTGGGAGCAAAAATCTTACCTTGACCCTTTCGAACAGTCCCCTCCTCCGCGATAAGGTGGGACAAATAGCGAGCGAAGGACTTGAACAGGTCCTACGACCCAAAAAATAAAAATAAAAATAAAATAAGAACACGATCGAGCTTGCATAAGCTCCCCTCTGGGATTTGGAAACTATCTTGAAATGTGCTCATCTCGCACCTTGCTGGCAAACTTCCCCCGAGTGTAAAAAGGGTCCAGGTAGCGCACCACCACGTTAGCCGCCTCTTTCAGTGTCACAGCTGTCGTTGACTCCTTCCTCGTTTGTGCGACACTCGGACGTACGGCGGGGTCGAAAGCGACTTTGCTGTCGCTCTTGCCCGCCAGGCGTCCTCGATTTGCCGGAGGAGGCTCCTCTCGTACGGCTTCCTGAGCGCACGCCTGATTCGAAAAGTGTCGATAGTCAGGAGGGAGGGAGGGAGGGAGGAAGGAAGGGAGGGGGCATCCTAAAAACTGACGGAGATGGACCGATTGTGTCACAGCTGGATTGTGGTCTTCTGTTGTGTTGTGTCTGAGTGAAAAATGAAACAGCTGCAATTAGTACAAGTGAAGACGCGTGCTAATTTCTTTTTTTTTTTTTTTTTGTTAACAGCACTCGGAACTGACTTTCAGCATAAGTGTTCACCACGATAACTTCCCAAAAATTCCAACAACGGTGGCATAAACATAAATCAGTCAATCAAAAGATGACGACACTGCAAACGCAATTTGTGGCATTACATCAGTGCTTTTGTGAATCACTGACGTGGTAACAAGACACTACAAATCAAATACACGTATGCATAATTAAAGGTTAATTTGAATGACTGAATTAAAAGTTAACTGTTCAGCCCGAGTAAATTATTTATCACATTGGAGACAACGATTACTCAATAATATACGAGTGGTACAAGAGTGTGTCTTACTCTGTGGCAGACTGTGGATTCAGTTCCGATGTTTGCTGAACCATCACATCATCATCATCATCATCAATCACCGTTACACCCAGTCTGTCCTGTGCTGGCATCGCATCCTGAAGAACTGGCTCCATAGCACCACTTTCGCCCTCCAAAGCGACAGGAGAGTGCTGCTGCTCCAGGTCCGCGTCGTCATCTGAAATCACGATGCTGCTCTCCGGCGCTTGGCTTTCTTTCATTGTTTGTGACTTGACAAAATAGTGAGAAATGCAGTGGGAACTTTTGGAAGCTTCCTCCAGCTTCTGCCGCTTCTTGCTCCAGGGTCTGCCTGGCTTTGTCGGGCTGCTTGAGGGAGCGGAAGAGGCAGCGGAGGAGGCCGTGGCGTTCGCTCTCACCCGGATGGATGATGTCACAGCCAAAGGCTCATCTGACCAATTTCTTTGTGGAGCCCATCGAATTTGTTTTTCTCGAACAGACGGGCTATCCACCATCGAGCCGCTCAGCAGATCTTTTGCAACCAGAAGGGGGTTGGACGAGCCCCTCTGGCCTGCTCCAACTCTCTTCCGCTTCATCTGGAGGGATGAGGAGCAAAAAAATATAGACATAAATAGTTGGAACCCCCACACATTTGCCGCTCACTCATCAAAAACTCAGTTTGTTGCAGTCGCGATTCAACATTCGTAAGGAAACAAAAAGATTTTCCTTTTGGTTTTAGCAGAAAATTGCTTCAACAAGAAGTGTTTTGTTTTTTTTGTTCAGGCCAAAGTAAGGCAAGTTAAATGTAAGGCTTTGTAATTCCGCTCGAAATGAATCCGAGACCACCTTCACAATGTTCCCAATGTTCCATGTCCAGAGTTGCAACAGGAAATAAAAAATGTGCACCGGCCCTGAAGAGTCCCGACTAAATCCACAAGGACCGCCCACAAGAGTTTTCCACAAAAACGGGGGTTGGCTCCCCCCCGACCCCCAAGATAACAAAACTTTACTTACTGTTGGAAAACAAATGTACAAAGTGGTGAAGAGATGCTGAAGCGCGAGGATTTGGGAGTCCACTGTATTTACAGTCTTGAAATTCTACATATGTGCTCACATATAAACTTTTGAAAGACAATTTTTTGACATTCTAATGCCAATCAAGCCCTTATTTTTACATTGATGGATTCAATGCCTGTGAAGACTTTAGCACCCACGTCCATCTCTGCAAAGCCAAGTATGATCAAATATTGCTCTGGCGCCATCTTGTGGCATCTTGGTCGGGCTTCAAAACAAAATCTTGGCATCTACAAGTTTTGGTTGCCATCTGATGGCATCCATGGGCAATTTATTGGCATGTGACGAGTCAGCTACCCTCCCTGATGCGAGTACCACGAGGGAGCCAAAGCAAATTATAACAACTGGTGGAAACTTGGTTATATTTAATATGTGAGGTGCGCCAATTTACCGAGTAGACCTCAGAAGCAGATTTGAACCCATGCAGATCCTCAGAAACGGAAGTAGAGGGGGAAGCTTTGTCTTCCTCTTTTAGCTCGGTGGCGCAACCACCGAGGCTCTTCTCCTCCTCTCTGACAGCGGACCCTTTCTTCAACTCGGACACCTTGGAGTACAAAAACGAGAGTCAAAATGGCAGTGGTCAATCCTGATAGAAATCTCAGCAACATCATCATGCGGGGGTTGGGCAGAACCTTCTTGAGTATTGCCGCTTTGTACAAGTTGGAAGACTTGCTTCTTTTGAACACCTCAAGTTCAATATCCACGGCTAAGGATAGTGGATCACTGCAGTGAGAAGATGCAGAATACGCTAATTATACAAACATGCTTTATAAAAACTTTTTGGGAGCACGGGGTTGATACTGTTTGGATATTCTCCCCTCAGAATGGGAAATTTGGGGGTAATTGATTGCCAAACATTTCTTACCAGCTACCGAGGTGGACTGAATAAACATTTCCAAACAGTTCTATCCCTTTAATTAGGGCTCACCTGTCCGTGACTACATGGGCCCCAACAGAAACAAGTTGTAAAAGGCCGGTTCCCAACCTCGCCCATGTCGGAATCGAACCAAAACTCTCGCGACATTGTTCGTGTGCGTCTGCATATTTACCGGAATGACTCGTCTGCCCCCTGGTGGCCATACAATGCCTCTTGCAAGAGTGTCAGGCAGTGCTCTCTGGACTGAAACACAATTGACATCCTTCAAGGCTGTCCACATACACGAGATCCCTTTAACACTTACGCCGTCTCTTTTCACAACTTCCAACACGTGAGTCACTGAATTCCTGGAACTGTGCTAATTAATGCCATCGCTATGAGGAATGTGTTTGTGCTGTGTACCTTCACTGGGAGCTTGGGGATCCGCTGACTGCTCGCTTCTTTCAGTGGGCAGTCAGCATCTACAGCGGGGAACAATTGAGCCTGAAGATTACTCTCAACAACAATAATAACAATAATTTAAAAATAATAATAATAAGTGGCTCGGATAATACATGGATGGATAATAATAATAATAATAATAAAGTATGACTCTTAATAGTTACTCAAGTTTTACCTGGAGGAATAAAGTCATCTCTCTCACTGTCAAGTCCCTAAAAATAAAAAATAAAATAAGACGAGTGCACATACCGAAATTAAATACAAAGCAGACCGATTCACATATGCACTGCCAAATCGATGCATTTTAGGTGATGATCCAAAAGAAAAACCCATTCTAAAATGTTACTATTCCACCTGTCTGTCATTCTGCATTGTATATTATAAGATGGAGATGACAACAAACCATCGCTCAGCGAACATCAAATTGTTTGGGGTCACGGTTTCCCCTACTAGAAATTGAAATACACTCGAAGAGACTTCAAAATCGATTTACATTAGCGCCCTCAGCATAAGTGTAATTTCTTTGTACATATAAGGGGGGGGGGGGGCATCTGCTTGACTGTAATTTGCCTTGATGTCCAAACTGATATTGTGTTCATTTGTATTTGTCAGCATTAATGGAGAGCAAACGCTGTCTGATACCAGTTTGTAAATAAAGTGAAGCAAGCGGCTGGAAATGTCTCGCAGGCCCGTCGAGCTGAGGAGCAGCTACGGAGTTGTCCGGCACACGTCTAATGGCTGAGGATTATTTTATTTTATCTTTGTATACCACAGCTGGCCTTAAGGGAGCCCACGATGCCAACAGCTGCTGAACACATGTTGAGAGGCAAAACACATACGCTGCACACACACGCAAACAAGTTTGCATGTGCATGCTGGTAAATTACCTTCCTTAAGCTCATCTGCTTCTTGAAGAGATCCGAGAATTCCTTTTTCCTCTTGGCTTCGTCGTCACTAATGCTTTCCCCTATTTCCTCAAACCTACGAGGTGCAAAGTGTCACAAAACCGTATCGTGTGAAGGCGGCAAATCCATGTCAAAAATGTGAACTTGCCTCTCAAAGCCGTAGCCCTTCTTTCCCCCTCCGTAAAGCTCCGGATCAAAACCAAACGCCTTCCTGGGCTCTTTGCTCTGAGCGGCGATGCTGGTGTTGCAAACGGCCTCCAGTTGGGCTCGCACGCCTTTCGGGTTGGAACAATAGTCGCAAGCACCTGAGCAGTTCGGCGGCTGGTCCCCGAAAAACTTGGAAATGGTGGCGTGGCGGCAACTAAAGGGAAGACAGGCGACATATTGGCAAGTTCATATAGTCTCGATTTGAATCTCAGAACGCGTCTACAAGTTATTTGGAATGTAGTTTTGCTCTGATGGCTTTTGTGCATGGGTTGTACACACGTGAGTGACCATTGATTCCGTTTCAAACTCAAACGCCCGGCAGTTCACCACCGTAGTCGGGATGGCGACGATGGCACGTCAAGTAATTCATCACTGACTTAATCAATGTACAGAAAAAAAAAATTCTACACGGTATAGTACAGCGCCGTGTGTTGAGATCTGTAAATCTGAAACACAAACAGCCTTAAGTGATTCAGTATGTTGCTATTAACCACATTTTTTTTTTCTTTTTCTTTAAATGCTGCCTTTGTTTACATCCCATTCCACTCGACATTCCATTGCGAACGTGGGAGGGACAATTTCCCCGTCGACCAGAACAATTGACAACAGGGAGTTGAGCTCTACCTCCAGACTGCTTTGGAGTGTCGTTGCGCTATCTAGTGGGGAAGTGAGCGACAGCTTCAACCGGTAAAAAAATATTGAAAAATTAAGTGCTGACAGTTCCAGTACGTATTTGAGAACCGTAACTGCTTGTCTTCATGTTTTCTACCGACATTCCTATACTGTTAAATAAGGGGAAAGCAAGCCTCAGTGAGAGCCCGTATTACGCAACAGTCTGTCTTCACACAAGCGAGCACACACACACACACACACACACACACACACACTCGCGCGTGCGCACGCACGTAAACAAAGGCGGTGCTGGGGGCCACGTTAACAACATGCAGACTACCTTGCAGGAAAGGGGGACGCTGCTAACGCAGCTATGAGAAGACAGACAGAAAGTGTTTCCACAAAAGAGGTGGGGAAAGAGGGAAGCACATAAAAAAAGACTCTTTGCGACTCCCGGCTTGGACTGGAAAAACAGCTTCGGAAGAAAACAAACTGCAGTAAGTCGTGTTACACTCACTAAGAGCTCAACCTAAAAAGCCAAAGTGGACAAAAAGCAGCATGTTGGTTTTATGCTCTGTGTATTTTTTCTTGCAGATTATCATCTGTTCCTGAAGAATTACATCGTATCTCCTAATCTTGGTATGGGGGCTAATCTGAACTCTGGATGATGAACTGCTCGTTCCGGCAACAAAAACAACGCACATTCCAGGTAAGACCTTCAGGGGGAAATACCATGCTGTCAACCGGTCTGCTCGACACCGACTTATCAATACTTAGAGTCAGTCGAGATTTGCGTGCCGTGTGTGGAAACAAAGACAAGTGCAGGTGAGTCATTTTGGCATTTGTGCCAAACTGCAAATACTAAAAAGTGGCCTTCACACCCGTGGACAAAATTCCGGGTACCCCTCTGTTAAGGAAAGAAATAAGAATAAAAGGAAAGGAAAAAATATGTAGAAATAATACATGAAAAATGTGATGAAAATTAACAAAGGAAAATCTGACGTTGCTTTTGAATTGTGGTTCAACAGATAGAAAAGTAAATAAACTGATGAAACAGGCCTGGCCGAAAATAGGCGCTATCCCTAAAGGTCACGCTCATTGACCTGCCGGATGAGGAAAAGGACCCTGTGGCCAAAGCCAAACTGTTGCCAAGGTCTTTCCAATCTGGACCTGGATTTGATGCCATTACATTCAGTACATTAGCACTTCATGGTGTCAAAATGAACTACATTTGACCACTTTCTGTTTTTATGAGTGCCAATTGTAAGATTGCATTTCCCCCTAGTGGTGACACTGTAATGTTGATGTCGTACCTGAATAGGGCTGCTGTTGATATTTGGTACCATGGCAGGCCTCACTATGACGGGAGGCCTCGGGTATATTGACCCTGCAAAAGACCCCTGACATTATCATAAGGGTCTCCAAGCAAACTATTTTTGAGCGTTCCGACAATGTATGCTTTGCTTTTTGTTGCCTCATTAGGATGGAACCCAAAGACCAAGCGGTGAATCTCCTCAGCAAAATTTGGGCCAAGCTACAGAGTTTGCCCAGTGCCAACCCAGTCGAGTTGGGGGGTTTCTTCATCCTCTTAACATTCATCTGTGAGTCTCCGCTCTCTGGTGTGAATAAGGATCTGGACTCTGGTCAAACTGAATGTTTATTTGCTCTCCTGCAGTGGTGGTTGTTGCCATGGCCGTCCTGATCTGCACGACATACTCTTGTTGCCGCTGCTGCTGTTGCCGCAGGGACAAAAAGGAGGGGGCAAACATTTGAAGGCATCTCAACTACACCCATTTTAAACACCAGTTCTCATCATTAAGTTCATTTAAAGCACGCAAACTTCAAAACAGGATTGCACCAAGGGCGCCAAGTCTCACAGAGACAACCTGTGATGGGACTCAGGCAAATGAGGTCAGGCCGGAGGGTGAGAAGAGGCCCCGCCCTCAAAAGCAACTGACACAAACAATGATGCCCTGACTCAATGCTCAACACACCTTCTGAAGCTGACTATCAAGACAATCGACATTCCTTGAATCAGCCGGGCGCACCGAGCTCCTGGCTGGAGGACAGGACACAACCAAACCATAATTGAACATGTCACCACATAAACTGAAGTTGGGTTAAGAAAACATGACGATTTAGGTCAACGTGCTTTTTTCTTAATGTATTTCAGAACAAATTCAAATATTTTTCACTGCCTGCTTTAACTTCATTCGGAAGGAATGTATTTGATTGTAACGAGCTGCTGTTGGCTGTTGGAGAGCATCCGAAAACCAGAGTTTTGCTTCTTAACTAGTCAAGTCTGCCCCCTGCTGTACAGAAAAGGAAATGAACACAGTTCGTTTCCAACTAATCCTTCCTTATGAAACACTAAAAATGTAGTGGTCAATGTACAAAGCAAAGTGGTAGCTATTTGCCAAAGACATTTGCTTGACTATACTGCTACAAGCCAATAAGCACCTGTGTGACATCATCTCTTACCTTTCCTGCTCACAAAAACGCACCATGGCTTCAAAGTCTGTAATGGCTGTTTTGTCCGATTCCTTTGCAGAATTTCGTTTTTCCTGCAGTCAAAAATCACACCTTTTAAATGATGGTGAAATTATGGTGAAATCAAGAGAAGCAATGCTTTTTTTTTTCCTTTCTTAATACTATAGTTGTTGCTGCCATACTGACCCTTTTTCGTGCAACCTCCTGATTGATGAGGAACATAATTTGCTCTTTGTCTTTCCGGGAGTAATAAATGCGACATAGGGACGGCAGTCCATCTCTTCCCGCTCGCCCGGATTCTTGGTAGTAGCTGGCTATGGATTTTGCAAGGTTCCAATGGGCAACAAACCTGTGGTCATAACAGAAAGGCCCCTGTAGCTATACAGTGATTTAAACTAGATGGATGGAAAAAAAAAAACGCTTTACCTTACATTAGCCTTGTCTACACCCATACCAAAACTGATGGTGGCTGCAATAACAGTCACTTTTCCCTGCATCCAGTCACTCTGTGCCTCTGTGCGATCTCCTGTCTTCAGACCTGAACATAAACAAAAATAACAATTAGTACTACTAACCACTTGATTCCCAGTCTCTCCATACCTCCTACAGTAGAAGAAGACTTACCAGCATGATAAGGCTTTGCCAGGACACCGAGTTTAGTAAGATGATGGGCTACGGTTTCACAACCTTCTCTGGTCCGACAGTATACAATCCCACAACCCTGTTCGAGAACATCATAGAAGTCAGGATTCTGCAGGACCAAATACCTTATTTCTAAAATACTGTAGGTGTCAACCGGTTCTATGCTTGTCTTGATGCATTATAAACTACCAACCTGTCCATTAGAGCCACCACCGCGAGCAAGTGCCTTCCGAATGAAAGCATGGAGGTGAACAAAGGGGTTTGGAAGAAGCTCGCTGAAGATGACGTCATAATGCAAATTACTTCGAAAAACCGGCGTACTGAAAGACAGCGGCAGACGCAGCTTCAGGGACTGAGCAATGTCCTCTTGGACCTTTTTAGGCGCTGTTGCTGTGAGTGCTACACAGGGAACCCCAGGCAAGCGAGCACGCAATTCACCCAGTTTGAGGTAGTCTGGTCTGAAATCATGACCCCACTGGGAGACACAGTGAGCCTCATCCACTGCCAGATAGGACAGCAGGCCCCGGGAGCACAAGTCAGTCAAGTAAGGCTGGAATGATGGCGAAGCTACCATCTCTGGTGTGATGTAGAGTAGCTTGAGCTTTGGGCTCGCACTTTGCAAATCTGTAAGAATCACACGGCGCTCGCCTACTGCGAGCTTGGAGTTGATGGAGCAAGCAGGGATGTTCAGGGATCTCAAGTGGTCCACTTGGTCCTGGAAGAAAAAACACAGAAACAGTGGTGAGTGGCAAATAATTATAGCAGATTTAAAAGTGGATTATAAAACTGAACGGACCTGAATAAGAGCAATTAGCGGGGAAATAACCAGAGTGATTCCTGCAGCCAGGACAGCAGGCAGTTGATAGCACAGGGACTTTCCTGCCCCAGTGGGCATGCACACAAACACATCCCTGCCACCTGCAGAAAGACACACCTTTAAACTTTCTAAAACAACCTGTCAGCAAGATTTCAGATCCACCGTCACAGCTAACGATAAGAAACAGTGTATGTTCCTTTTTTGTTGTGCCTGGGCTAAATTCGGGCAATCAGAGGAGATTAATGCGCGGGAGCAAATCCATCATTGCACTTGATTATTAACTTACCTTGGATAACTGCTTTGACGATATTTTCCTGCACTTTAGATCTAAAGTCCTCGAACCCAAAATGGGTATTTAAAGCTTGTTTTAAAGTTAGTGTTGTTACTCGCGCCTCCATTAGCAGAACTCAGTGGTTGCGTCGCCCATTGATGACATCATCGCTGACACTGTAAATAATCCTCTTTTAACTTTGTTTCGAATTGGTAAAATATTTAAATTGAATCCTCCTGGCAGTTAAATTATTTAATTGGAAGACTTAGTAATGAATAAAACTGTTTTTGACAACAAAAAAGAATATCCGATGATTACAACGTAAACGAGTTTTTTTTAAATACTGCAGCCTACTGAATTTGTAAAAATAATTTTCATGTAAAACACTCGCTGAGTCGCTGCTGTTTTATAATAAATTATAGACCTGTTCAAAAGTTAAGTCATTTGAAATGACAACTTATACCATCCTTACCATTTTATTCAGTCTAATACGGTGTAACTGCAAACAAATTGTCACTTAATTCGTCCTCAGAAATGTAGATATATTTTTTAGACTTCCAAAGTGGTTGTTTACTGTGGAAAAAAATCATGTTCAACTCGGCACCCTTGGTCAGTGTTAAGTAGGAAGGGTACATGATGAATTTATTTTGCGAAATAATTGATAGAAGTTTGTCAGTAATGTGTTGCCCACTGCCAAACAGCATGATGGTCAGTTTCTCAATATTTATATTTGTATATTTTGCTTTTATTTTGTATATATTTTATCTGCATTTATTTTACATTTGTCACTCGGCATTCCGCCGCAAACGATGATGATCCTTATAATTACTAAACAGTTCAATTAAACAAGAGACAGCAAGTACCATCATTAATTTGCTTTATTCAGTATATGATTACTATTACAGTACACGACAATGTATATTCTACAGTTCTCCTTCCAAACACCAAATATGTGAGCACAGTTTTCAATTTGATTGTAGGAACGAGGAAAGTAGCAGCAGCATAGAGAGTGGTCACACCTTGAAGCTATTTTTTTAAAGCACAACAATGGGCTCTGACAGCAGGATCTTAGATTCCTCCCAGTGATTAGTATATTTGCATAACCTTGAAACCTTTATATTCCTTAATAGGATATCTACTGGATATATTGAAGGAAAGGTTGACAAGGTAAGAAATCAACCCCACAGGCAGGATGTGGCACAGAGACATTGGGTTTTGGCTTCAGGAGTCCTGATCACCAGATCATTAATGATCTCCACTGTGCCAAACAGTGGGAAGAGCTTCTCTTGGAAGCGCTCATTGTAAGTGTAGATGTGGACACGTCTGTCCGCGTCATAGAAGGACAGCTGGCCACCATCGTAGTCGAGGTAAACACCCACCTTTCGAGGGATGAGGCCTGGCGGCAGGGCAGTGAAGGGCACGGTGAGTGCCTTAAGCTCAGTGCCCCTTTCCAGACGCAGGGTGAAGTAACCCGTGTCAGTGTTGAGGGATTTGAAACCTTTCCTCAGAGCGGACTCCTTGGCCACGCCCAGCCGCCAGTCTCGCTCACCCACCTCCACCTCCCAGTAGTGGCGGCCCGATTCATAGCCTACCATTCCAACAGCGCACCACCAGCCATCGAAGCGCTGGTGGTAATTGGGGATATCTTTCCTCTCAAAGCCACAACGCATCCTCTTCTCATCACCCGAGATGAGAAGATCAGGATTGGCTGTATCTTGGTTCAGAGTCACTTCCACTGACACAGAACATACAATTCTTGAATTAACAACAAGATAGGCAACGTGAGGTTGATCATAATATAAACGCTGATAGGATTAACACTGTACCTGCAGCATCTGTGATCCATTCCCATACTGCCCAAAAAAAAAGCACATTTTATTCCAATAAAGTGGTGCTTGAATATGTTTAAACACTAGAAATGGTTAGGTAAGTGTACACCTGAGGTGGTTGTCTAACGATCAACAGACCACTGACCTGGTTGAGGGATGTAGGGTATAGCACCTGAAAAAAATGCAGAAAATCAAAAGATGGGAAGTTAATCATAAAACAAACCAAAAAAATTAGATACATACCTAAAAAATAAACACATCGAACATTTTGTTCTTACCAATCTTTGTTTTCTGCTTCCACATCAACCATTGCTGTGGGATTGTATCCTGTGGGTACAAAACGAAAGCTCAGTCTTTGCTATGATTGGTATCAATTCAAATATGTACCGACCTTATCTGAATCCTGCAGCATCACAGTCCACAAAACCAGCTCCATGGCACACAGAAGGTTTGGCACACGGCTCCAGCGCCAAGCTGAACTCAAGTCCTCCAGGATGTTTGCCACCATTTCCCCCGGCCAAACACTTTGCTAAATCACAATCAATTATAATACTTTTTGAAGCGCGGGTCAAATTGACTAAATTTGGGGAGGAACAAATCAGTTAAAGCTCCTTGCCTCAGGCTGAGCTTTCAGGTCTTTCATCCATTCGAGGAGGTCTAACTTAGCCCTTTGCATGTCCTGCTGGTTAGTCAGATCGCACTTTTCGTCACCATCAGTTTCTGGCCAGCCATCGGTCTGCATGGGCCTCTTCTGCGGACAAAAAGGCACGCCGCATGTGTTACTGTGGGTAGATGTGGTGTAAAACCCTGAACCATTCGTGATGGATCGCATCTCATATTTCCGTAAAAGGACCATTTACTCGGAATAAGTACCTTTCTCCCAAACATGGATGCCCATTCGAGTATGAAGACCCAGCAGAGAGGGGTTGGCCAAGTCTCATCCTTGTTCCAGATGTGCTCCAGGACTGATGCACTCTTCAGTGGACACAGAGAAGCAAGTCAGTGGTGGTTTTGGTGGAGAAAAAAAAAAAAAAAAAAAATCACACAATCCGCTAAGGTCAGTTTTGCAATAAATACTGTGCTTTGACTCTCATTTCATATCTGATTTCATGAATTCATTTCTGGTAATTCATCATCATCTCCTTTGGTCAGGCAAGTCCTGGAAAACATAACACTCTGCAAATCGATGATCCCTGGCAGTAATTACATTTACCATCGTCGATACTACCATGTGTCACAGTTCTTACAAGAGCACACATTGGTAAAGCTGTAGTTTGCAGAGGCGCTACGAGTCTACCACCGAGTGAACACCTTCGCCCAAAAAATATGTATTCCTCCCTGCATTTAAATAAATTCGCTTCCATGACCACGTAGGAGGAAATTTGGTAAGCAACCAGACAAAGTAGGACAGATCGCAGAGGCATTTGTACTCTCTTTTGGTAGATCATCATAATTAAAAGATACTGATGCATAGGTGAGTTGACAGGTCACATTACTACAACATCTGAAGAGACACAACTACATGAGTTGATTTGCTTTGACACCTCTGCAACATGCTGTCACCAGTTGACTATAATGACAGAACCGGTGTAGAAAGTGGCAATTACACCTGGCACACTCGGCCAAGATCTCGAGCCAGTTCCACAATAAGTAGCTGCTCTTCATCCAAGTAATCTGGCGTCTTCTTTTTCTTGGTTTTGATGCTCGATGTCTGAAAGGCAAATCGGGGACATTTGTCTGTAACAGATTTGGGGTTGCAAAGTTGACATAGAAAGAGCTTTGAGCACTTTAAGAGTGCTGACGAAGTGACGACCTTACAGTTTTTGTGCTCCATTTCTAAAGATCCCATCATGCAAACTCGAATAGATTAATTTTTTTGAAAGGCTTAGGTTATACCCCCCCAGCCCCGGATAACACCGGGGTATTTTGAGAGTTACTCTGTTTGTGTTTTTTTTCTCTTTAATTGATTTAATGAAAGAAAAAGCAAGTTAAGCAACCTTCAGGTGCCATTAAAAGCTAGTTTTGGAGACTGTGGTGTAATTGCTGCCTCCATTTCAGGTCAGACTGGTAAGGAGGTATCAGACACAAATTGTCTCTGTTTACCTGTCATCGGAGAACCAAACCCATCCCCATCACATTTTGTGCCACGTTTCACGTCCGCACCAATTCGAGAAATGCAAATGCAAAAGGTGGCAAGAGAGTTATTATAACTCTCTTGCCATTCTCTTGTTCTCTTGCTCTCTCTCTCTCTCTCTCTCTCTCTCTCTCTCTCTCTCTCTCTCTCTGTTTTTTTTAGTCAATTGCATGCAGCACCACACCACAACATTAATTAGAAATCCAAAATTGTCACTTTCTGGAATGCAATCATGATAATGATTGGGATAATAATATTTTAGTAATAGTGTTTGTGTGTGTGTGTGTGTGTGTGTGTGTGTGTGTGTGTGTGTGTGTGTGTGTGTGTGTGTGTGTGTGTGTGTGTGTGTGTGTGTGTGCGTGTGTGTGTGAATACTTAAAAATACTATTCGATCAACTGACTCATTCATCAAGGTGACCCGTGGGCCAAAAGCAAATTCAGTTTACACATTAAACACTGGCGCACTTTCTGGAGGACTGAGTTACCTTTATTTTGACTGTCATGGTTTTGATGGGTTCAGCAATGAAGTGAAAACATTGAAACATCTTGTCTGCCTGTGGTGGGAGTCCTTCCCGATGAATGTCGCAAAGGGTAAGATTCGTAACGTGACAATCCTGAAAGAAAATGCAAATATATATATATATATATATATAGATTGTGTTACTAATTTGGTCCGTAACTTGCAATGGTAAGGAAAGGATGTGTGCTACACTGCAGTTAGAGAAAGGGGGTGTCCTCCACTGTAGAAAGGCTGGTCTCCAGTTGACTGCAGGCTGCAAAGTACGAGCTGCAGGTGTATATATATACATATTTCCCATATACTTTTTAGGGAAATCTTTCAAAAATGTTCAGATGAAAAACACGTATAATGTTTATTAATGTGCGCGCAATGACCGTGCAGCTTTCCTCTCCGCGCCCGAGCGACCAAGATTTCGACGTCTACGCACCTGACAGGCGACTGCACCAATGCGCAATATAACACCGTGCCTCCACATTATGCACGTTACCTTCATTAAAAGGGCTCGTACATCGAACTTTTTTTGATGCAGTTTTAGTCGTGAAACACACATTACCTACCTTTCTTGTCGCACGCCACAGGAAGCAACTCAGTTCGTCCTGTCCTCGCGTAAAAGATGAGGAGTTGCACTGCTTGCTGCAGCGCCCGACCTTGTTTACGAATCACACTGACGCTCGGCTCTTCGGAGAACTTCGGCTTTTCCCGTCGTTTGCCGGCATAACTATGGGCAGACTTGGCAGCCATGTTTCTGAGGTCATGATGAGGTCGCCACTGTCTGCTATTAAATACACTAAGTACCTGTGCTAATATCGATAGCAAATAATTTGAACATTGATATCAGCACTGGTACTGTCAAGGTGCTGTTGTAATACAAACAAATGTCAATACATTTGCTGCAAAATGTAGAGATATTTGTTTAAAATAGGCCAATATGAAGGTATTAATCAATCAGAAAAAAAAAAATCTATATATATATATATATATATATATATAAAATGAAAATATCTCAAAATCCTGATATGCAAGAAAAAAAATACACCTGCTGTTGACCAGAACAATTTGATTCCCATTTGTCTTGTGGTTTTTGTTCTGAATGAATTAAATAATGTAAACATCTGGGCTGTCCCCCAATTATTTTATGAGCGGTTGAAGGTTGTGTCCCGTCAAAAATTGTCCTACAAATGGAAATCAGAAAAAAAATGTTTTTTTTTGCACTGCACAAACAGCAAAGCTAAAACTAACTTTCACAGACACAATACTTTTATGAGCCAAAAAATCCCCACCCAACACTCCTTTTTTGGCATTTTCAGTCCTTCGGGTCACAGTTTTCATGCAGTCTCTATTTCACCATCCTATTCAAGTTGTACCAGCATCATTAAGTCTTTTTCACGGTGTGTTGCACAAAAATGTTTGCAGCTCTTCTTTGGTTGCCCAGCTCCTCATATCCCAAAGTCAGCCTTGAGGTATTTCAATCAGCACATTTGTGATGAATGTTCCAAACCGTTTTATGGTTTTTAAATTCCACCCATTTGTCCAGTTCTTCTCATTCATCAAACGTCTTCCGGACTCAGTTAGTATCATACAGGAAGAACATTGTCGCTGCTCTCAGAGTTGTCTGGACGAGGTGCCTCGTTTTGAACAGCAGGTGCAGAGGTGGTGTGGTCACTCAGCGTGGGCGAAGCATCCAAACTCGGTGAGAGGATGTGGTATGGAAGCTCCACAGACTGACGGACACTCTCCTCATATGATGGAGGTGGCTGTGAAGAATGTTGGACAATAAGAGACCAAAGATGAACACTTTGTGGGCCAAAAAAAAAAAAAAAAAATGACCCGAGTACAAAGCAGCTCTCTTGGACGCTGCTTGTGTGCTGGCTTTAATTATGTGCCTTTTTCTCATTACCTTGTTTGCTCAAGCGAGTCAAAAGTTCAGCGAAAGATCAACACTGTAAAACCTTGAAACGTGGCCGCCGGCAATGAGCGTCGGATGAGCTAATAGCATGTTTTGCGTATTGGGCCCTGAATTCAATCTGTCTTCAAATGAGCTCTGATTGTCATGTATACAATACTTTTATGATTATCAGCCCTTTGAAAGCCCAAGCTGAGGGCCTGCCATATAAGCGTCATGATTATTATAATGATGGAGCAACTTCATCTTGATTTCCAATTTTTCACATAAAACGTGAAATAAGACTCCATCGTCATCCAGCAAGCGTGCCTGCATCGAGTTGTACGCATCCTACCTCCGTCTCAATGGGCCCATTGAGGCCAAAGCGGTCTGCGATCATCATGTGGATCTGCCTCTGGCGATCCTTTTTTCGGACACTTTCGTAGGAGGGCAGCCGAGGCAGGGGGGCCTCCAGAGAGGGCAGACTGTAGCTGGAGGGCAGGCCGACATAGAACAGCTGACTCCCCTGCACATATTGTCACACACGGGCCATAAAACACAGCAAGGTCGTTATTCGGGAACAGAGACACATGACACGTGTTGTCATATGCCAATGATTGTCCAGGTAATGCTTTCCAGCCTTTTTTAACCGAACCACAACGCGTATGTGTCTTGGAAACTTTATTATGAATAATGAGTCTATCCAGGGACATGGTAATTGTATTGTTTGAAAAGTGCATACAGAGTGTATACTATGAGGAAGATTGTCTCGTGATAATTTAGTCGGCTTCCGTGCAAAAAGTAATGCAATGCGATCAATAGGAACGGGTGCATGTATTTTTCCTATATTTAATGAATTCTTTGACAATTGTATGCAGGAGCCGTAAGCCATATTCACAGAAACGGCCACAATGTTTGTTGATTGTCTTATACTTCAAGGTTTTATTTATTTTAAAAAAAATCATGTTCCTAAGGCAGCGTTCCTGGGCAACGCTGAAAAATAAACTGAACATGACACACATTCACTCGCTTCTTCATTAGTTTGCACAATGCCTAACAAGATCCACATGCCTAACAAGATCCAGTACAAGAGCGATATTAAAATCGCACTTTTACAAATAATGACGTTCAGTTTGCTTCTTCGAACAATACGCTTACATCAGTGACGCTGGCAGCTGGAAAGCGCGTCTGCTCTAAACAAGGTGATCCCACCAGTGTCTGTCTGCTGCTGTAGAACTGAGGAGGAGCATCCTGTAAAACAAGAAACGATAAAAGCATGTGGGGAAAAAAAGGAAAAACATCTGTCAGCCAATAAGTTGACTAAGTACTCCCAAATGTCAGATTTTTGTTCCTTTTGGCCTGATTTTCATGCCTTGTTTAATCACTGTGGACACCAGCCACTTTAGCAATATCATAAATTATCTCATCTATAAGACCACCACCCTCTGAATTCCATGCCCCCTCCCATTCCCACCCCCTTTTACATCACAACCTGTCAACGTCTCACTATATGAAGTGTTGGCATCTTTTGAGGGGGGAAAAAAAAGCCTGCGAGGAAAACGAGGTAATTGTCTTGTGTCTAAATGAGTCTCCTTTGTGTAGGGAACAATATGGCGTCCTACTGTGTCATCGGAGTCCCTAGGCAACAAACCACACAGTGTGGCCTTTTCAGCATCTCTTCATTCCCCTTTTAACTGCGGTAGGTACCGCTTAACGAGCACACTCCACTACACATTATGACCATGTATGTCATTTAGGGCAGCAAAGTCAATTTGTTGTCTGGCTAAATTTAGCAGGATGTTAAAATCTGAACACAAGTGGAGTTTTTTTTCATATGATAATTCCGGGTTGCGTGGAATTATTCAACTTTTCCCAAGCCATGATGCACAATGGCGTCACTTATATTTTCAAGGATGCGCGCCAATGACCTTTGCCATAGCCGTCAAATCATTTCGGTGAGACCAAGATGACACTAAAAAAATGTAATGTCAGGGGTAATTTTCCCTCACTGGCTCATAATTTTAAGAGGCAAAAACGGGAAAGAGAGAAAAAAAAAAGCAGAGTTGTCCTTTTGTCTCAGCCATTGACTCAGCTTGTGTGAAAAAGCACAACCGTGTAAAATCAGCAGTGAAGTCGGGGGAGGATTCCAAGGGCAGTGTGCCTTTTTCACGGACGCAAACTCAAAAGGAGACCTATTGTCTCCTCGCGTCCCCAACACCCACAGTAGGATCTATCCACTATTCATGGTCCAAACTGAGGCAGGGGAAGGTATGTGACGATGAAGTCGAAGACATGGAAATGTGCCACAACGACACAATGAACAAGTGCATTTGCGTTTGTTTCCCTTGTCCGGTCTTCACTCTTCTTCAAAAACAGCGCTGACAGCAAAACTGCATCATGGTTCTTCAGTCACATTTAAATACCGCCTGCAAGTTATTCTAAATGATGTCAAGTGTTTGGCTCACAGGATGGGGATGGACTCTTGACCAGGCTATGTGTTCTCTTATCAACCACATGTGGCCAAAGCCTCAGTTCAACTCAGTTTGTTCTTGGTGAAACGCTCTGTTAGTTCTTTGGTGCGTTTAAACGCTGTCTCCGGTAAAACAGTAACTGAACAGAGTTTCCTGTCAGTTGTGGTGAGGGAGCTATGAGTCATGTGACTCATGCCCCTGCAATAAGAAGATAACGGTCAAACTTCACCCTGAGGGACTCAAAGAAGTGAGGAAGAAGTCAGGAAGAGGAAGCAAAAAGAATGAAAGCGTAACCTCTTTGGCGTGTTTACATTTCGCCAGCGCTATCACTGGCAGCTTTACAAATTCCATATCTTTAGTTGAAACAAACACTGAACAAAAATACAAATGTGTACATGCCACTGCTGTTTAAACTTTTGAACCCAGTTTTTTTTTTTTTTTAATTGCATCGATGCACTCTGATGTGAGTGCCACATTTATCATTGTCAATGCAATTGGCTATGGCAAATCCAATATAAGACAACGATGATCATATCAGATTTAATATAAAACTTATCACACTGCTCTGCAAATTGAATGTGACACTTGCTAATTGCGACACACTTAGATCACATGGTGTGTTCGGGGCTTGGCTTTTAGCAGTTTCAAATCGAAACAAAACATGCAGACCACTTCAAAAGCCCACTCAGCACAAAAGGGCCTTTATTTTCCTTTTTCTTGTTGTTCCAAGGGCTTACCGTATCTGCATGCGGCCCCTGATAGGAGCACAATCTGCAGCACTGAGGATCCTTGCGGTAAATGATGGACAGGAGCACCGCAATCACAACAAAAAACACTAGGGAGGAAACTGCGTGACAACGGGAGAAAAGAAAGGGTTAATCTCAGATAACCAGGACTCTAGTTTCTTGCTTTACTCCCGTGAAACAACTTGCGAAAGACCAACGATATAGAAAAAGAAAAAAATAATGCTTTCACAATACAGTACTTGAAATAAAATGAAGTTGACTCAATTGGAATTCAATTGATTGAAAGCCTCTTTATATACGATACTTGAATATTGTATTTTCTGTGACGTACCTGCCAATGAAGAACCGTTACAGTTTTGATAGTAAAGGCTAATAAAGGATAGCACACCACATCAAACACAAAACACCTTTTTATGTGGCCCATAAAGCAAATACAAGATGTCCACCTCATGTTTCTTGTGAAGTGTTGGCAGAAAAAAAGTTCACATTTTCCTCACTGAAACTGGCTTGACGAGCATTTCAACTGGTTTTACAAGCATTTATTTTCACCAAGCTTTTACTTTGACGATTCACCAAATCCCTTCCTATTGTCCATGACATTGGATTTGAAATGAAATGAATTGTAAAAATGTATAATAATAACATGATCAAGTGATTATACAGTTGTATGAGGGAAAGTTTAACACCCCTGCTATAGTGTTCCTACACATAAAAAAAATGTAAACCATCAGTGCTAATTCATTCAAGAAATACAATGGCATCTCTTGTTCCACCGAGAGCTATTATATGAAATAATCTAAACTTGATCACAATGCAACAAAGGGAAAAACATTGTTTGAAAACAAAAGAAGCGTTTTACAAATGTACTCACAACACGCAGCGACCACGGTGAGTTGATCCGATGTCATCTGCAAGGAGGGAATGGTTGGATTTACGGTTGCGGACATTTCTGCCGTGTAAACACTTAATGTTGCTTTCTGAGAAGTCCCCGAACCCATCAGGTTGAACACCAAAGCTGTCATCTTCTTAAATGTGTGCGTCCGTACAGCCGCAAAGCTTCGGAGCCCTTCCACATGGTGTAATCCAACAGGCTGACAGTCCACATGCACTCTGCAAACGGGATCTCCAAGTGTCCGGCAGTCTGTAAACACACCACCGCGTTTATTAGCCGGTGAAGGCGGCCTGACGTCACCGGGCAGCGGTCAGATTTACGGAGAGCTTACTGGTTGGTTAACTCCAAGAAGTAAAAAAAAAAAGTACATCTGCGAACGTTTTAAATGTTCAACACATGCCAAGAGTTATTATTTTGACGTTTCAAATGTAATCGTGAGATCATTGTCATTCATGTTGTTTTTTCCACAGAGGCATCCCAGCTCGGAGGTCTGAATGCTTGAAGTGGTTTCCTGTTACCCTAGAAACCGGGGGTCCCGCATTGAGATGATTTGTTTAACTCACACAAGAGGCCAACGTGTGGAATTGGTAATCATGGCTCTGCAATTTAACAAAATCTAAGATGCTGCATTGGTAATTGTGCCTTGGTAGGTAGTACTTGCTTAATTTTTGAGCGGCACCAGCCATAGAATTTTTTTTTAAAAAGGTTGTAATTTAAAGTGCTGTGCAAAAATATAAAGAAATGTGTCAGTGTGTTGCAGTGCAAGATTATATGATCATTTTCCATAGTTAGATTTCTTGCCTTTTGAAGGGAAATTGTTTTTTAAAACACACACACAACATGAAGAAAAGGTCATGACATTGGGGTGGAAAGTTTAAAAAAATCGATAAAATGTTGTTGATTATTTTTTGAGCGAACTAAGTAAAAAAATGCAAAATTTGGGGTCAAGATGTAATATGCTCATATTTCATTGTCCTTTTCCATTAACTACAAACTAACTCAAATAAATGTGATTACAAATGGCTTTACATGCATACAGTCAAATGGCAGGATGTCTTGGTCCTTACAAATTAGACTTTCCCATATTGAATATCTCACACATTAATGTGTGTGCATATAACACCATTATGCAGCTCTGGTGAAGATTATATGGTCACTTATTATTTAATCTGTTTGAGAGGCTGGCCGCTGAAGTACTCAGCCTGGAGTTGGGATTATGAGTTTATGTAAATCTGTGCTTGAGTTTCTTTTCAGCTGGTTAACTGCACCATTGCAAAATGCAAATAATTAAATATAACGGGAACTGTATTAATCTGCCAAAATTTAGCACACATATGGAAATTGTGAAGCAAGCCGCCAATGGATACAAGATAAATACAAATCCACAAAAGAGAAAAAGGGGAAAAATGCCTTCATAATCTCCAAGAATTCAATATTTAGGACCGGTGATGAAGTACTAATACTTCATTACTGCTCCCCCACCAGCATCTTTACTGTTTTAGGGTATTTATTTTTCTCTCAATGTTCTGCCTTGCTTATAAATCTGAAATAAGATATTTCCATTCTACACAATATACCTCTACTTGCATGGAAGCAGCCTACCAAGTGTGGCAACTTTTTTACACCTCAATTTAGGACATTTTGCTAGGACAGAGGATTTAATGTTTTTCAGGACATCTTCATTTTGCGTAAGTGTTCTAATTAACCGTAAGTGGAGCGCACCCAAGGACGAATTCCCAAGTGAACTGAACGGTCGTCAATTTGAGGAGAGCGGAGGCGCGCAACGCTTGCAGTGCGCGCGCTTCACCGACGACGCGATCCAGGCGCTACTTCAAGTTACCGAGTCGAAGAAAAAAATGGTGGCCAGCGCGAGAGTGCAGAAGCTCCTCCGAAGATACAAACTCGCGATTGCCGCCGCCATAACCATCCTCCTCATCCAAGGTCTCGTCGTGTGGAGCCTGAAAAGTCTGGAAGAGGGCGAGGCGCAGGTGAGCAACGATCCACTCGTTCGTTTACCGGGATGACGCGGATTTCCGCTCGGTTTATTTGGAGCCGCTAACCGCTAGCTTAGCTCCGCGTCACTTTAAATGGGGCAGAGCTAGCCGAGAAGGGGGCTTCGCTTGGGACTCGATCGAAGCAGCCTTGACTGTCACTGGACTGATCGTACTTGGCAATTCACAAACTAAACATAACTTTAAAAAAAAAAGACCAATGATATGTTGGCTGACCAGCATTGTTTGGTCATACACTCGAACAGTCCCTGTGTCTGATGTACTTGTGCAGAAAAGATGGTTACGATCGCGCTGCAATGCATACATTATTCTTGTAATGTAGCATATGATACGTCTGCTTCACTTTTCGGGGTTCGAATCTCGTCTTCGGTCTGACTTTGTGGAGTTTGCATGCAATTCTCTACGTGCTCGCTTCGGTTTTCATCCCACATTCCAAAACATGCATAGTCGGTTTTTGGAAGACTCCCAAACCGCGTATCCAATTTCACATAATGGAGCCGCATTTATTTTAATATATATAATGTCTATTTGTTCAACCATCAATGCCATTGACATGCAGAACAAGTATATTGTTTTTTTCAGTAGATGACAAAAGGTACAATTAATCTGTGTGTACATCATTTTGTGCATAAGATGAGACATTATTACTTGAGTATTACACTTTTTGTGAGATCTTTGTTGAGTGGTGTGCCATGAGATTTTTGTAATGTTTAATATGCGCAGTGTCAAAATAAAACCTTGCTCTAAACTGTACATCAGTGTGAATGTGAGTGGGTTGTTTATCACTATGTGCCCTGCGATTGGCTGGTGACCAGTCCAAGGTGTACACCGCCTCTTGCACAAAGTCAGATAGGATAGCCACAAGCTCCCCCGTGACTTTAATGAGGATAAACCGTAGAGATAGTGCGTGGATGCATGGATTATTATACTCATTATAATCCCTCAAACGGAAATTAAACACATACTTTGCATATTTATGTCGCACAGCACATAGAGAATTAGATGTGTGCATGCAAGGTCAAATGTCAGAGTGGAAAGGGTGCAAAAAGTGCCGCCAGTCGTCATAGAGCAGACGAGCATCACTCCAACAATTTGAACCCATGACCCTCTAATTTCAAAGCCCAAATCCGAACAGATGAAATGCTTTTAATTTTAAATTTATTTTAAATACACCTAATTGTGGCATTTTGGGCATGTTTTGTGTGTTGGTTAATGCTACTGGGTTTTGAAACGCCTGTCAGTCATGCAGGTAGAGAAGACATTCGACTTAGATTTCAACTCTTCTTCTTGGGGGTCAGAATTCCATTGAACAGCACTAACTTGAGTCAGTGCCAGCGTGGCACGTTGTTAACTTTGATGACCTACGGAGGCATGTGAAGACACAATTAGAATGTTTCTCTCCCTCACACTCTGGAATGTTACCTGAGACCTGAGGTGAAAGGCAACTAAACATCTTTGAATGATGAAAAGTTTGTGTTTTGCATGTGATTTGACATTCTGTGGGATTTTTTTGGTCTTAACCAAATTAAGCAGCCCTGATCAAGACGTATGCAGTCCTTTTTGTTTTTCTGATGTGTCATACTAAATTGGTCACTTTACTCCATCTCGTACATGCAACAGGATCACGCACAGCAATGCTCGTTTGAACACTCAAATTTCAGGCCAAAGAATTCCAAATTAAACCCCACTCCCCCGCTCTGTAAATCCCCCAAAACGGGTGGGTTGAACTCGAAAGCTTTTTGGTCTTTGCATCAACTTGCTTCTTTCGTAATCTAATTATGCGGCGACGTGCCCGTCAATTTTAAGCACACCCTAATAACACCGAGTCATCACAATGTGTTCTATGAAAAGCTTTCACATAAAAGGGGAAGGACTGAAAAGACTGAAAAGTCGTTATCAGCATCGGCGAGAACTTTACGCTCGGAACGGCCACCCGCTTCATAGAATGGCGATGCTGATATGCTTTTCCTGCTCATTAATTGGAAAGCAAAGTCTGACGAGCCTGGCTTTGAATCTGAACTTTTTGTCACGATGGTGTTAATTAAAAGCTGTGCAAATGCCTGATAAGGAAAAGTGAAACGTTAGCTACATGAGGATGTTCGTCTTTCGTGAGACCACATTTGCTCGGAAAATGTGTCACACATTTATTAGCACTAATAAGTCTTTTTCTCGGATACAGCGTCAAGCCAACAAAACAAAATGTAAACTCTAATTAAATGATGTCATTTCCACTCTTTGTTCGTCTTAATGTCATAAACTCTTCATATGATACTTGTTACCAGGCAGAATTGTTCTTGTATGTTTCTTGCTGCTGTCGTGATGGCTTTCAGGGAGGCCGCGATTGTAAGTGGCAGTGCTGTTTTGGTTGGCAAGCGGTTTACAGGCCGACCGGTGTGTTATTTGCCCCACCGCAAAGCTCCAGCCCTCGCCTGCTTCTGTCATCTTTGGCCAGTAGGCCCAGCAACTGTAGCACACGAGGCAGCTCAGGTCCTGCCTCATCTGCTGACAGAAACGCAAGAAAAATGTGAGGGTCAGACTGCCAAACTCACCGAATGATTGAATGCATGTCCAATCATGCGACTCAGTCACCAATCGTCTATTCACACCGTATATACGCGGGTGTCTTTCAATGTCTGTCAGGCGGTGGAGCTCCCTAATTATTATTTTCAAGCTGTTCCAATCTTTGAGGTTTGCATGCCGTTTTCCCTGCGTGTGTGGAATGCGCGCGAACACGTCACCAGCGCATGTTTTTCCCCCTGCAATCTTTGCCAGGGGGGTGGGCTGGCTCAGCTTTCTGCAGTGATTTTCACACCGTATATACGCGGGTGTCTTTCAATGTCTGTCAGGCGGTGGAGCTCCCTAATTATTATTTTCAAGCTGTTCCAATCTTTGAGGTTTGCATGCCGTTTTCCCTGCGTGTGTGGAATGCGCGCGAACACGTCACCAGCGCATGTTTTTCCCCCTGCAATCTTTGCCAGGGGGGTGGGCTGGCTCAGCTTTCTGCAGTGATTCATTGAGCTTGTTATGTCTCTCACTGTGCCTATCTCCCCAAATGTTTGTGCAGATTAGCTTCCGAAAAAACAAGGACAGAAAAAAAATGATCAACCGAGCTAAAAATATATCTTTGCGGCGAAGTGTAATGTGGTCTTTTAAGGTTTACTGGGATCATCAAGATTGATGCTCAAAAGGTTCGATTTTGTATGTTACGGTTTCGCTCTGTCACTCACTCTCAGCTTTCCTCCATAGAAAAAAACAAGACGCTCTAAACTGCCCGACAACAACAGCCAGGACCAGAAGAGGGATGCCGCGCTATTAGAAAGACACAACCCGGTGTCTGGGAGTAACAAGGGCAGATGGAAGGGCAGGCTGGAAAGGACAGGAGGCACAGCAACCAGCGCGCTAAGAAAAGGGAACAGCCGAAGACAAGGAAAGCCGGCAATCAGGCTTAAGAAACCCCTCGAGCAGGGGCAAACGGGCACCGGATTGGATGGTGTTGCGCCACATGACCCGTCCAGTAACTTGAGCAAGAAATACAATGGCATCTCTTGTTCCACCGAGAGCTATTATATGAAATAATCTAAACTTGATCACAATGCAACAAAGGGAAAAACATTGTTTGAAAACAAAAGAAGCGTTTTACAAATGTACTCACAACACGCAGCGACCACGGTGAGTTGATCCGATGTCATCTGCAAGGAGGGAATGGTTGGATTTACGGTTGCGGACATTTCTGCCGTGTAAACACTTAATGTTGCTTTCTGAGAAGTCCCCGAACCCATCAGGTTGAACACCAAAGCTGTCATCTTCTTAAATGTGTGCGTCCGTACAGCCGCAAAGCTTCGGAGCCCTTCCACATGGTGTAATCCAACAGGCTGACAGTCCACATGCACTCTGCAAACGGGATCTCCAAGTGTCCGGCAGTCTGTAAACACACCACCGCGTTTATGAGCCGGTGAAGGCGGCCTGACGTCACCGGGCAGCGGTCAGATTTACGGAGAGCTTACTGGTTGGTTAACTCCAAGAAGTAAAAAAAAAAAGTACATCTGCGAACGTTTTAAATGTTCAACACATGCCAAGAGTTATTATTTTGACGTTTCAAATGTAATCGTGAGATCATTGTCATTCATGTTGTTTTTTCCACAGAGGCATCCCAGCTCGGAGGTCTGAATGCTTGAAGTGGTTTCCTGTTACCCTAGAAACCGGGGGTCCCGCATTGAGATGATTTGTTTAACTCACACAAGAGGCCAACGTGTGGAATTGGTAATCATGGCTCTGCAATTTAACAAAATCTAAGATGCTGCATTGGTAATTGTGCCTTGGTAGGTAGTACTTGCTTAATTTTTGAGCGGCACCAGCCATAGAATTTTTTTTTAAAAAGGTTGTAATTTAAAGTGCTGTGCAAAAATATAAAGAAATGTGTCAGTGTGTTGCAGTGCAAGATTATATGATCATTTTCCATAGTTAGATTTCTTGCCTTTTGAAGGGAAATTGTTTTTTAAAACACACACACAACATGAAGAAAAGGTCATGACATTGGGGTGGAAAGTTTAAAAAAATCGATAAAATGTTGTTGATTATTTTTTGAGCGAACTAAGTAAAAAAATGCAAAATTTGGGGTCAAGATGTAATATGCTCATATTTCATTGTCCTTTTCCATTAACTACAAACTAACTCAAATAAATGTGATTACAAATGGCTTTACATGCATACAGTCAAATGGCAGGATGTCTTGGTCCTTACAAATTAGACTTTCCCATATTGAATATCTCACACATTAATGTGTGTGCATATAACACCATTATGCAGCTCTGGTGAAGATTATATGGTCACTTATTATTTAATCTGTTTGAGAGGCTGGCCGCTGAAGTACTCAGCCTGGAGTTGGGATTATGAGTTTATGTAAATCTGTGCTTGAGTTTCTTTTCAGCTGGTTAACTGCACCATTGCAAAATGCAAATAATTAAATATAACGGGAACTGTATTAATCTGCCAAAATTTAGCACACATATGGAAATTGTGAAGCAAGCCGCCAATGGATACAAGATAAATACAAATCCACAAAAGAGAAAAAGGGGAAAAATGCCTTCATAATCTCCAAGAATTCAATATTTAGGACCGGTGATGAAGTACTAATACTTCATTACTGCTCCCCCACCAGCATCTTTACTGTTTTAGGGTATTTATTTTTCTCTCAATGTTCTGCCTTGCTTATAAATCTGAAATAAGATATTTCCATTCTACACAATATACCTCTACTTGCATGGAAGCAGCCTACCAAGTGTGGCAACTTTTTTACACCTCAATTTAGGACATTTTGCTAGGACAGAGGATTTAATGTTTTTCAGGACATCTTCATTTTGCGTAAGTGTTCTAATTAACCGTAAGTGGAGCGCACCCAAGGACGAATTCCCAAGTGAACTGAACGGTCGTCAATTTGAGGAGAGCGGAGGCGCGCAACGCTTGCAGTGCGCGCGCTTCACCGACGACGCGATCCAGGCGCTACTTCAAGTTACCGAGTCGAAGAAAAAAATGGTGGCCAGCGCGAGAGTGCAGAAGCTCCTCCGAAGATACAAACTCGCGATTGCCGCCGCCATAACCATCCTCCTCATCCAAGGTCTCGTCGTGTGGAGCCTGAAAAGTCTGGAAGAGGGCGAGGCGCAGGTGAGCAACGATCCACTCGTTCGTTTACCGGGATGACGCGGATTTCCGCTCGGTTTATTTGGAGCCGCTAACCGCTAGCTTAGCTCCGCGTCACTTTAAATGGGGCAGAGCTAGCCGAGAAGGGGGCTTCGCTTGGGACTCGATCGAAGCAGCCTTGACTGTCACTGGACTGATCGTACTTGGCAATTCACAAACTAAACATAACTTTAAAAAAAAAAGACCAATGATATGTTGGCTGACCAGCATTGTTTGGTCATACACTCGAACAGTCCCTGTGTCTGATGTACTTGTGCAGAAAAGATGGTTACGATCGCGCTGCAATGCATACATTATTCTTGTAATGTAGCATATGATACGTCTGCTTCACTTTTCGGGGTTCGAATCTCGTCTTCGGTCTGACTTTGTGGAGTTTGCATGCAATTCTCTACGTGCTCGCTTCGGTTTTCATCCCACATTCCAAAACATGCATAGTCGGTTTTTGGAAGACTCCCAAACCGCGTATCCAATTTCACATAATGGAGCCGCATTTATTTTAATATATATAATGTCTATTTGTTCAACCATCAATGCCATTGACATGCAGAACAAGTATATTGTTTTTTTCAGTAGATGACAAAAGGTACAATTAATCTGTGTGTACATCATTTTGTGCATAAGATGAGACATTATTACTTGAGTATTACACTTTTTGTGAGATCTTTGTTGAGTGGTGTGCCATGAGATTTTTGTAATGTTTAATATGCGCAGTGTCAAAATAAAACCTTGCTCTAAACTGTACATCAGTGTGAATGTGAGTGGGTTGTTTATCACTATGTGCCCTGCGATTGGCTGGTGACCAGTCCAAGGTGTACACCGCCTCTTGCACAAAGTCAGATAGGATAGCCACAAGCTCCCCCGTGACTTTAATGAGGATAAACCGTAGAGATAGTGCGTGGATGCATGGATTATTATACTCATTATAATCCCTCAAACGGAAATTAAACACATACTTTGCATATTTACGTCGCACAGCACATAGAGAATTAGATGTGTGCATGCAAGGTCAAATGTCAGAGTGGAAAGGGTGCAAAAAGTGCCGCCAGTCGTCATAGAGCAGACGAGCATCACTCCAACAATTTGAACCCATGACCCTCTAATTTCAAAGCCCAAATCCGAACAGATGAAATGCTTTTAATTTTAAATTTATTTTAAATACACCTAATTGTGGCATTTTGGGCATGTTTTGTGTGTTGGTTAATGCTACTGGGTTTTGAAACGCCTGTCAGTCATGCAGGTAGAGAAGACATTCGACTTAGATTTCAACTCTTCTTCTTGGGGGTCAGAATTCCATTGAACAGCACTAACTTGAGTCAGTGCCAGCGTGGCACGTTGTTAACTTTGATGACCTACGGAGGCATGTGAAGACACAATTAGAATGTTTCTCTCCCTCACACTCTGGAATGTTACCTGAGACCTGAGGTGAAAGGCAACTAAACATCTTTGAATGATGAAAAGTTTGTGTTTTGCATGTGATTTGACATTCTGTGGGATTTTTTTGGTCTTAACCAAATTAAGCAGCCCTGATCAAGACGTATGCAGTCCTTTTTGTTTTTCTGATGTGTCATACTAAATTGGTCACTTTACTCCATCTCGTACATGCAACAGGATCACGCACAGCAATGCTCGTTTGAACACTCAAATTTCAGGCCAAAGAATTCCAAATTAAACCCCACTCCCCCGCTCTGTAAATCCCCCAAAACGGGTGGGTTGAACTCGAAAGCTTTTTGGTCTTTGCATCAACTTGCTTCTTTCGTAATCTAATTATGCGGCGACGTGCCCGTCAATTTTAAGCACACCCTAATAACACCGAGTCATCACAATGTGTTCTATGAAAAGCTTTCACATAAAAGGGGAAGGACTGAAAAGACTGAAAAGTCATTATCAGCATCGGCGAGAACTTTACGCTCGGAACGGCCACCCGCTTCATAGAATGGCGATGCTGATATGCTTTTCCTGCTCATTAATTGGAAAGCAAAGTCTGACGAGCCTGGCTTTGAATCTGAACTTTTTGTCACGATGGTGTTAATTAAAAGCTGTGCAAATGCCTGATAAGGAAAAGTGAAACGTTAGCTACATGAGGATGTTCGTCTTTCGTGAGACCACATTTGCTCGGAAAATGTGTCACACATTTATTAGCACTAATAAGTCTTTTTCTCGGATACAGCGTCAAGCCAACAAAACAAAATGTAAACTCTAATTAAATGATGTCATTTCCACTCTTTGTTCGTCTTAATGTCATAAACTCTTCATATGATACTTGTTACCAGGCAGAATTGTTCTTGTATGTTTCTTGCTGCTGTCGTGATGGCTTTCAGGGAGGCCGCGATTGTAAGTGGCAGTGCTGTTTTGGTTGGCAAGCGGTTTACAGGCCGACCGGTGTGTTATTTGCCCCACCGCAAAGCTCCAGCCCTCGCCTGCTTCTGTCATCTTTGGCCAGTAGGCCCAGCAACTGTAGCACACGAGGCAGCTCAGGTCCTGCCTCATCTGCTGACAGAAACGCAAGAAAAATGTGAGGGTCAGACTGCCAAACTCACCGAATGATTGAATGCATGTCCAATCATGCGACTCAGTCACCAATCGTCTATTCACACCGTATATACGCGGGTGTCTTTCAATGTCTGTCAGGCGGTGGAGCTCCCTAATTATTATTTTCAAGCTGTTCCAATCTTTGAGGTTTGCATGCCGTTTTCCCTGCGTGTGTGGAATGCGCGCGAACACGTCACCAGCGCATGTTTTTCCCCCTGCAATCTTTGCCAGGGGGGTGGGCTGGCTCAGCTTTCTGCAGTGATTCATTGAGCTTGTTATGTCTCTCACTGTGCCTATCTCCCCAAATGTTTGTGCAGATTAGCTTCCGAAAAAACAAGGACAGAAAAAAA